TCTAAGAAAATATTTAACGCTACCATAGTAACACACGTGCAGATGTATGTATAAAAAATTACCATACACGTACTACTCGCACTAATTTAAATTATTTGCACATTTAATAGTTAAAATTATTCAAATATTAAAGTTTACGCGTGCTGTAAATTGAAAAAAAAGGTATCGTTTTATTAATACAATAATTGTAATTAACAAAAGTAATAATTGCACAAGCCGCGAAGTGGACCCATTAAAAACGTCCGTTATTATCAACATGTTCATGCAACTTTTGGGAATAGATTAAAATACGATAAACGGTTTCACAGAAAGCATGGGCAGAGGAGCCAATTCGTCAAAACTATTTTTGGTTGATTGACAACTGAGCACGTGACATATAGGTTAGACGCTAATTTAAGATCGTGTTTTTGAACTAAATTTAATATTACCTGGTGGGAAGTTGCGTGGCTTGCTGATCGTATTGATAATATAGCCGAAGATGGTTAACACGAGAACGGCGACCAGTGTCGCAAACATTTTGATTTGAATTACCTCACGCGCCAATCACTCGGCGTTCACAGCGCAACTGTTCTTGGTATATTCATAACACATTCTTTTATGGGGACTATCAGTTACATAATACCATTGACATCTATCATAACATGTAATGTCAATAGCGGACGAAGCTTTTTCTAGTTGACGACTGGAACACAACAGTTGGCTGCGTAAATTATTAGTAACAAGCGTTTACAGAGACAAAAAAATAATCAATTATTGCAACAAAATAAGAGTTTATTTTTGTCTATAACTTTTTTTTAGGCAATTGTCATGACTTATACAGAGTGTTAATTAATAATGTAATGCAGATTGACAAATGGAAATATTCATATATTTTGAAAAGGTCAGTGATCTAAATGATTCGAATTATTGTTTCTTTCAGAATTAATACCCCAATAACCCATTGGTTGCTGGACATAAATTTTAAGTTAAAGATTGAATTTTTGTGTATAGGTACTTTCACTATATAAGTAATATTTAACTTTATACTTAATAAGAATATATTTTTTAAACGTAGATATATTTACATGGCTTATTAAACAAAGCTTAATTTATTTTAGTTTTTGTTTATTCATTTTTAATTATTATTATTATCTAGGTGAATAATATTGTAAATATAACAGTAGGTTAGAAGATACTTTGGTAAAATATGTCGCCAATTTATCTCATCTTTTATTTTAACATTAAAAATAAAAAGGAACAAATTTTCAACATTGTTAACAAGCTTTCAATATAATATTTACGTACATTTTAAACAAATAGGTCGGTAAATTGCTTTCGCATTAATTTCGCCCATAAGGTATTGATTCGTCATCATATTCATGGCCGATAGTATGATGAACTACCGATACTCCGTATTTCAAGTTTAACGTTGCTAACATTGAATTTGAACATTACAGGCTCACATTTATAATTAAAATTCTGTACGCCGGCTCCTCTGTCCAAAATCGTTCTATTCTAGTAAATTCAAATGATGGAGCAGACATAATATTATACGCAGTAAAAGAGATTGTTAGATTATTACTTTTTTTTATATAATAGGGGGGCTAACGAGCTTGCGGGACGACCAAAAAGGGCAGTCTTCGCAGCCCATAGACACCCATTTTTAGTGGGTGCGTTGCCGGCCTTTGAGGGAGGAGTACACTCGATTTTTAAACATTTGGAGGTCGTATCTCTGAGGAAAGACCCCCACCGGGAGTCGATTCCACAGTTTGCTAGTTCGCATAAGAAAATGCCTTGTGAAACGGACTGAGGAAGACATCCAACCATCAAGATGATGTTGGTGAAATTTAGAGGTCGTACGGCTCGTACGGTGTTGAATAGTTATATGACTCATAATTTTAATTCATAAGGTCTGCCTCACAGGGACGCCATGGCCACGTCGCCGGCTACGTATCCAAACAATAAATATTCGTATTTTCATATATGAAGGCAGAAAATCCACCTCGGGAGCGACACTAATGAATCGAGTTTTCCAATCTCGCTTCCACGACGATTCAAATTCATTTAAGGTCGAACAACAAGCAAAAAAACTGCCCCATGCTTTCACAGTTTAATTGCTAATTATTATCGAACTACCATATAATAGAAAAAAGGAAATGAACGGTACGATTGCATTAGTTCTTAATGAACGGTTAATTAATTCCAAAAAATCTCCTATCGTCTTCTATTTTAACCTAATTAAGCGTTATAATCAAGATTTAAAGTCCTATAGATAGGATTATTAATCGGCAGTTTAAATGTTTTATATTATTTGTAATATTCAACTAAGTATTACAAATTCACCGCTGTCAATTCAAGCATTCGATGTAAACAAACAAACGTAGCATTGAACTTGCGTTTGACAGTGCATACCTGCAGCGCCCTTGGAAAATCAGGTGAAACACAATTTCCGAGAATTCAGAAATGTATTGCAACCATTGGGAACAGCTTTCATTTGGAATTTGCTGAATTCATGGTTTGAATAACGATAAAACTGAATTTTCATGATCAAAATACACGTTGAATTATCAACGTTTGCAAAATCATTATCGAATAAACATTCCATTTAGTTTGATAATTTGGACAGTTAATGAGCTACGGAATAATGAGTTGATAATAATTTTTAAATAAGATTTTTATGATACTTATGACTGTGGATTTTTGCATTTTATTAACAGATCTGTGGCAGGGTAAGTGGCGTTCTTTCGAATGCCTAAGGCGGGAATCGAAAGAACTTTTCTGTCCGCAATCAACATATTTTGGTCGGCGTAGGATAACATTGTGAGCGTAGTTGTTTTAAAATCATCAGGCAGTCAGCCTTTTTTGGACCAGACTAAATTGGCTCACCAACTTTTTTTTTTATCGAACAGGGATCGAACGGGCTGGATGCTCACCGACCATGGACACTCAATGCTAGAGGTTCGCAAGTGGAATATGGCCTTAAAAATTGGTACGCTATTTTCTTGAAGGATCCTAAGTCGAATTGGCTTGGAAATACTTCAGTGGGCAGCTGGTTTTACATAGTAGTGGTGTGCGGCAGAAACTTTCTAAAAAAAACTCTCAGTTGTGGAACGACGGACGTCGAGGTGATACGGATGGTATTTTGTATTCTGCCTCGACGTCCGATGATGAAACTTGTCTATAAAAGATATATAAAACAAATAACGAAACAGATATAGATATGCAGATATTAAATAATGGCGTAACATGCGGGAAATCGTATTGAACTGGTTTTATGTTACAGCTATCAGATATTTTTCAGGTCAATTACAGGACGAAAGCGTCTATTTACCCCCAGCCAACGTACAATATTGTCGTCCTGTTTTGCCGATTTCTTACTAATATAAAGAACAGTATTTTGGATTGAAAAAGGTGGCATTCTCCTCATCATTATAAAAAAGGATACTTACCTTTTTCTTGAGCCTAAGCTACGTTATAGACTTAATTGCAGTAATTATTACAAAAACACCTCCCTCCCACATGCAAGCTTCCGAATCGGGGAGGCAAACTGTAATACGGTAACTGCGTAATAGCAATGTATAATTTAACAATATTTCATTAATAAAAATTTAATAGATTTAAATTTTACACGAATGCGCGGGAATTTTTAAAGAATATAATATAAATTTAATTCTAAACAGATTTAATATATTTTCCCGATTTTATTACTATTATAATTTATATTCATTGTCTATAACTATATTACTTATAATAAACCTTGGCGAGAATTTATTTATTGGCAGCGCTAGCGAAGTGCTAGGGATTTTTTTAAGAAGCTTACAATTTTTCCCCAGAAATATAAAACCTTGCTTTGGTACACAAATACATACATGACTTTTAGTATTATAAAAAGTTGCAAAACTCTTGAACTTCAGTTCAGATTTTCCAATTTGTCGTTGCAAGATTTCTATGGTTACATTAATACACACCACTGTGGATTTATAATGTAACACTTTATGATTTACTGTATTATTCTGTAAAAAAAATCTATAATTCATCTACTTATTTAGAACAGACTAGTGCTACTGCTAAAAAGATTGTAGATTTTGCTTTAGAGTTTAGTCACAAATTATGACTCACAATACACCACAACAGCACAGCGTAAGATTTTATACTATGAAAATAACTACAACAGACAAGCAACAATACCTATTGTCTGATCTCTTGTATCTTTTTTACTGCTGCTACAGAACTCAACCAGGTTGACAGATTTTTTGTGTCTATAGAACATAGATGAACTAGAATTATTTTTTAAGTGTGCTTTTATATTGTTATGAGTTGTTGTTATAAGATGCCAAACTATATATCTATCGTATACGATGTCAATAAAATATTAATCTTTGGGAAATAGTGAAGTATCTTTTCTAAGTATATACTTTTATGAGCTCTTTCTAATCTTTTAAAACGTTATTGAATAGATCAAAGTCGTAGATGAAGATAAATTAGCAAATTACATAATTTACGCAGTCACGCAAGCCGAAAGGTGCGTGGGGGATTTATCCGATTACAAAAAAATCAGCTAGACTAAAGTCTTTAGACCACCGCATTGTTGAGGGTTAACAAAATGCATACACCACCTGCTCGGCCCGCATAAATGCTCATACCCCCAATTTATTTCTTTATAAAAAATTCGAGCGTATTACATTAGATTATGTAATAAGTATATTGAAATTGACATAAGGGTTGAAGGTTGGTATTGACAATAACAACTGTCACCAACGACGAGGAACCTAATAGATGACAGCCGACAGCTGACCTCCGACAGCGGAGAGCGGACAGTGCACCGTCGATAGCCAACAGCTGACAGTCGATACTCTTTAATCTTTATAGTCGAAGATAACCATTGAGTAATGAGTAAGCATAAGATAAAAACTCAACGATAAATAGTTTTGATTAATAGCAAAGTCACAATGCAGTTGGAAACTAGAATAGTGACATACTTATTACTACAATAATATCTGAACATCTTAAAAAACATTAATATGTCTGAGTGTGGAAAATTTGGGCCATTAGTTGGGGCGATAGATGAAGGAACTTCAAGTGCGCGGTTTATTATATTTAAAGCAAATTCTTGCGAAGTAGTTGCAACATATCAAAAAGAAATTGAGCAACATTTTCCTCAAGAGGGTTGGGTTGAACAGGATGCTTGTGCTATTCTGGAAGTAGTTACAATATGTATTAATGAAGCTGTGAAGCAATTAGTTTCATTGGGTGGAAGCCCAAAGGTATGTATATAGAATATAACATTTAACAATATCACCTTCTACATCAACCTGTAAAATATAGTTTGCACCTAAATTCAACTTAGATTACAAAACAATTAATTATCCACTGAAGTAAATTTAAGACACTTTTTTTTACAGAATTAAGAATTATTGTTAAAATATAAAATGACCTCTGCAGTCACTTAAACATGTAAGCTAGTGTGCTTCAGTATGGCCGATATTAAAATGTTTTCATATATCAATAGATATTATACAATTTAGTAAACATACAATTGGGTAAAAACTCAATGATAAATTGTTTTGATTTATAGCATAGTAGCAAAACACTTAGTGCAGTTGAAACTAGACTTGAGATATACATTTTATAATAAATATCTGAACATCTCTAAAAAATATTAATATGAATGAAAAATTTGAGCCATTAGTTGGGGCAATATAACAATCACTTTATGTTATGAGTATATTGGTCCTTTTTATCCAGGTAATATGTTATGTCACATCTACTTTGTAAAGAAGTAATGGCTTGTTTTCTCAACAATTCTCATATTCAGGAAAATTACTCATTCTATAGTTTCATTTGGCAGATGGTTGCATAAAGTTGCATGATTAAATTAATTACCATTTTAGGATATAGTTGCAATTGGTGTAACAAATCAACGGGAAACAACAATAGTATGGGATAAAATAACAGGAAAACCTCTGTATAACGCTATTGTATGGCTTGATATGAGAACATCATCAACAATTGACAAATTACTTGACTTAGTTCCAAACAAAACTAGGAATAAGAATTATTTGAAGGTATATAAATTTAACTACTTTAATTACTATATTATTAAATGGAATACACATTGACACAAGCTTAAGAATTGAACTACATATAATAAAACCTTAAAAATTTTCATTATACATATAGGCAAACCCTTTTAAAACAACAATATAAAAATATATGAATTTTATATATTTTTTTTGATTACTTTTCTGTGTGGTTATCTTAAATATTTATTTTATTTTATTGAATGTATTAATTACTAGCTGTTGTGCTCTTATTTAGTTTTATATCTTTACCGTTTTTTGAACATTATTTTTGTTAATATTACAATTACAATACAATCATACAAAAATTTAATAACAGTCAGACAGATGGTTTTGAGATAGACCCATGCCAGGGTATGAGAATTATGGAGATGTATTAATATATAAATTAGAATATTACATTCTCCTACAAAACATCTCAATTCGGAAAAAAGTCTGATCATAAACCTAATTAGTTAAGCTTCTTCTGCCACTAGAAAATCATGTGACAACATTACAATTGTACCATAAATAATTTGTTTATTATATTAAGAATGGCAATAATTAACTAATAAATCATATGGTTTCCAGCCATTATGTGGTCTGCCTATGTCCCCATACTTCAGTGCGGTTAAACTAAGGTGGCTAGCCGATAATGTTGAGGTAGTCCAGCAAGCTTTAAAGAATGGAACTTGTTGTTTCGGCACTGTGGACACATGGCTAATTTGGAATCTAACAGGTTAATAGTATCCATTGTGCTTATTTTGTTGTATACTGGTTTAAAATGTTACTTTGAAACTTATTTTAAATACATATATGAATTATGAACATTTTTCTTTTACATGAAATTAAAATTACAAAGTCTTTGATCTTGAAGACACACATTTTATCAAAATCAGTCCAGTTGCTTAGGAGTTAACTTTTAAACACATGCATGTTTCTTTTTAGGGGGTGTTAATGGGGGCAAGCATATAACAGATGTGACAAATGCATCGCGAACAATGCTCATGAATATTGAAACACTTAACTGGGATCCACTTTTGATGAAATTCTTTGAAATACCTAAGTGTGTATTGCCTCAAATCAAATCTAGCTCAGAGGTAGAGTATATAGAATTTAAAAAATAAATATATATATATATATATGTATATATATTTTTATTTACTACTACAATGAAATATGACAAAATGGAAACATCTAGGCCCATGACGGTTTTCTTTCCACATTCCAAGTTGAGAGATAATGTTTAACATCATGTATATATTATAAAAAATAGGCTGTGTACTTGTGTAAGTCTCAATAATAAGTGTGTTTAGTAACTGAAACCAGAATTTCCAACAAGCAATGTAATCTAAGAATAATAGCACACGTGTTAATGCAATTAAGAATAACAAAGGCGAGAAGGCCTCATGACCTCAAGTGTCTTTTTTAGAAATTTTGGCACCCCAATAGGTTAGTTTTGTAAGCTGATTATAAAAACAATTATACTTAATTATGTTATTGATGTCTAAATATGAAAATATTTATTCGTAATAGAGAATGTTTGTTGCGTAATATATGGGTTTTGCGTTAAACCAAACAAATATAGCTCATTTTTCGTTATAGAGAGTATATCGTTATAACGTATAAAGAGTTTAGACGCAGTTTAACGCTGTAAAGTATAGAAAATACTCTGGAAAATCATGTAAACCGCCATCTAGTGTTTATCTAGTATTTCAGAATGTATTTAAGAACTGTCAACTGATAATATTAACGATACATATCCACTCTAGAATTGTGTGTATCTGATATTGTATTATATAAAAAATTACTGATTTTAATGATTGTAGACTGGTATATTTGGACTATACCTGATGAACGATTAATTTGGTAAATGTTGGAAAAAAGAATATACTCAACTGTCACCCAATCACAACCTTTTATGAAATGGGTATTTTTAATGTAACGGGGCAAGCGGGCAGGACGCTCACCTGATGTTAAGTGTTACTGCCGCTCATGGACACGCAACTGCAGTGCTCGCAATTGCGTCGCCTGCCATTTAATACTGGTACGCGCTTTCCTGTAAGTAGTAGCTAGCCACATAGTGGTTTTGCACTATGTGAGTGCCATCTATGCGGTACTCTCAGAAATGCATTCGAGTTCTCCTATTTCAGATATATGGTTACATAGCGGATGGTCCCTTAAGAAGTATTCCCATATCCGGTTGTCTTGGTGACCAACAAGCTGCTCTAGTTGGCCAGTTATGTCTACAGAAGGGACAAGCGAAGGCCACATATGGAACTGGATGTTTTGTCCTATATAATACAGGAGATGTTCGTGTTAATTCTAGCAAAGGGCTTCTAACAACTGTTGCCTACCAACTGGGAGCTAACAATGCACCTTGTTATGCTTTAGAGGGCTCTGTAAGTATTTACATTAATGATATTATTATTTATTATAAAATAATAATGATTAGCATCTTATTGACATTGTTTAAAAAAAAAAATATACACAATTTTATTACTTTAAGATACAGATGTTAATTGTTACCGCCGCCCATGGACACGCAATGGCAGAGAGCTCGCGAGTACGTTGCAGGCCTTTTGAGAATCGGTACGCTCTTTTCTTGAAGTTTCCCTGGGTTATATATTTTTTTATATTAATACATAGAGGCTATTATTTCCGCTTACATCCAAAATCTATATTTTTTAGGTCGCTGTAGCGGGGGCAGCACTGGGATGGTTAAAGGACAATGTAGGTATACTGGAAAGTGCCAAACAGTCGCAAGAATTGGCTGAAATGTCCACAGAGAATGGTAGTGTCGTTTTTGTTCCCGCATTTAGTGGGTTATATGCACCATATTGGCGACAAGATGCCAGAGGGTATGTTTTTATTCTTATAAAGTCATCGGACAAAAGTTGTATTATCTAGTTTTAGGTAGTTTTTTATTGATTTCTTATTTATTTATTTATTAATATTTCGTTGCAATAACATATCAAAATCCTTTGTATTCTTATGTTTGTTTTTTGTGTCGTGTGTAAATATATTTTTATTTTTTTATATATTCTTGTCAGTTTAGGGTCACCTGTTAGGACATGTTTGTGTTTTTTCTAAATAAATCAATAAAAATAAAATCCTCCAAAAGCTGCCTCGTCATAGCTTGTTTACGTTTCTGGACTTGGTGCTTTGGCCAAGTTTCTTCAGCTAAAACGTGTGTCTGCGGCCAGGTTTCTACCAGCCATTTTGTCATGTTCATACTAGTGAACCCAACAGAGATTGTGACACTTTTTAAGTACAAAAAAAGTTCATAAAAATCGTACCAGCTGTTTAGTAAATGTTTAATGACAGACACACATATGATTTAGCTTTGCGTGCAATGAAGACAGAAACAGACCATGTCTCTCTTGTCGTTATATTTATCAAAATTAACTACTCATGTTACATAAATCTCTAAAGCAAAAATTTCTGATAACAAAGAGCATAAGAAAAAGTTTATCAAAACTTTCTAGGTCTATTTTCTTCATAATAGCGCCATCTATCCAACCATGACTAAGTGAAGAACACCTATTCAAAAGCAACGTCATGGACGTATATCTTCTTTTAATAGGTAGATGGCGCTGCAACACAAATTGTAATGGAAAACAAATAAAAAACGTTCTAATGTCCCCAAAACAAATCATATATTATAATTGTTTTTGAAAACAAAATCTCACAAATAAAATACTTTCTAATGTCCCCAAATCAAATCATAATATTATATACTCGTAAACAATTTTGCTATCTGTCAAATCCTAGCCTGCAATTATTTTATAATGTATCTTTGTATATTCATAATATTCATAATTTGTTGATAAATAAACCGCACTACTACTTTAAATCTTGGCTTCGAGTTACTTTATTTAACAGTTTATCTATTGAATTATCAGTATGTATGTGTGTCAAACATATTAGTTCCCTCGCAATATTTCTCTTTGTCATTCGAGCGCCAAACCTGGAAAAGTACATAAGTGTGATTTAAACAAATATTTTAGGGTAATATGCGGTATAACGGAGGATACAAATTCAAATCATATAGTAAAGGCAGCATTGGAAGCAGTCTGTTTTCAAGTAAGAGATATCCTAGATGCAATGAACGAAGACTGTGGAATCCCATTGCAACTCTTGAAGGTAAATATGTATATTTATTTATATTTAATTTAAAATGTATTCTCCAAATTATTGGATTATTAATGTGCACACTCATTTAGCGTAACCAATACTATAAAATACGTGTGACACTCGGGGACTGCCGCGGTAAAGCTATTGCATAGCATTTTTTATAAACTCATGCAATATTTTTTTTTTTTTGCAGAATTTTTTTTTTCTTTGATAATAAATCAAGTTTTTTCTTTGATTCAATCTACCACTCAACCAGACTCAGACTAACACGCCTATGCGATCACGGTAAACCGATGTGAGACGCAGTATGCGTTCTGTCCCGCTCTAACGCGTATTGGCCGCACCTATATTACGTCATCGTGTGTTAGGTTTATTTCGTTACGGAATTTCTTGATTCGGTCGCCGCGCTCAAAGCAATAGCTTCGTTTCAAAAGTCACGTAGGACTCAAAGTGCAGACAGCGTTACGTATGACTTTGAATCAGGGCATCGTTTGGTATAATTATAATAAAGATTAATAATTTCTTTTAGAGATTAGATAGAGAATTTCATTGAGCACACGCAAACAGTTGCTGCCAACAAGGCTAACAAAATGCTAGGTTTTGTATTAGGGCCCTATTCGTTCTGTTCAATGTACAGTAACTCTTTACAAAACACTTGTTCGTAGTATTTTAGAATATGCTATCTGGTCGCCACACATCAAAATGCACTTAAATACCATCCAAACAGTTCAAAAACGTTTTTTTAGCAAGCTTTACAATCGCCTACGCTTGCGTGGTGTATTGCTGACGTACGAGGCTCGTTTGGACTATTTCAAGTTGTATACTCTAAAACTCCGACGTGACGTTTGATCTAGTTTATTTGTATAAAATATTTAAGTAACTTTAATAATGTATAAAAAATCCTTTCCTTGTAATTCTAGAGTTACTAGAATATAAGTCTTCTATGCGTACCGGCTCACTTATCTGCTCATTTAATGGTCCAGTGATTGGGCTATCTCGCTCTAAAAACTTAATTACTAACATTGATGAAAATATTGATATATTTTACAACAATTTTCCAACTCACCGGAAAATTGTTGATCGTGCTTCTTAATGAGGTTTGAGTTTCCATTTAGGCTTAGCTTTTATTACGTTTTTGCTTGACTAATTGTTAATGTATTCCCTTGATAGCTTGCGTATGTTCTCATTCATGTGTATGTGTGTAAAATTTGTGATGTCGTATTTTCTTGTATAGTTTATGCATACACGTTGTTTTCAACCTTATAAATAAATATAATTTAAGCGAACATTAAGCGTTTAATTGTCGTTAGTATATATATGAACTTAAAAGTAGGCACAGTAAGAATAATAATTGTTATAGAGAAAAAAACTGCTTTAAAAGCAGATATCGTGAAAAAATTCATTAACTAGTCAAAAAATAATTATAAATATTGATACGTCGGTCACGTGATATAAAACAGTCACAAATAAGTCGAAACGACGATGCAAGTATATCTTCGCCTGTCTTATCCTAATACTGTTTTGGAGTTTAGTGTCGGAGTGTTTTTGAAAATCATTGTGTATTTATCTGTGTGTCTTTTATGAAACCTAGACGTTTGTTTACGTGTTGGCAAAGTAGGCACTGGTGCGACGCCTTCTTGTCTAGATAAGCTTTTTGGTGGTTATAAAAGGCCAATATTTATCGAAATTAAAAAATAATATAATATAGAATAGTTTATTAAATTTAATTTAAAATAGTCCATGTTTTAGCTACATTATATAGATATACTTCAATATATCAATGTACGTATATTTGTATTTAACTTAAATAATTTAAATAAAATATTGATTTGTGGAGTCAAATATATGGGCCTCCATTTTAAGTTTTTAGAAATAATAATTCTATTTGTTTTATGAGTTTTTTTTATTCATATTTATATTAATAAAAATAGGATTTATATTATATTTTTTAATAAGAAATACTTACTGTTATTTTTTTAGAGTGGGAAATTTTATCTTTTAATTCTATAAATATTGTTTTTTCTGTATTATTGAATTGAATATCTTTATTATTTATAATATTTGTCTCTTTAATTAGTATTAGAATAATATTAAAACATATTTTTTTCAGGTGGACGGTGGCATGACTTCCAATTCGCTAGTAATGCAAATGCAGACTGATCTTATAGGAATTAACATTATAAAGGCCGGTTTTACCGAAAGTACTGCGCTAGGGGCGGCACTCGTCGCCTTTTGGGGCTTAGATAGAAATACACAAACGCCAAATATCGATATACAAAATGGTCAGATGTACAGCCCTAAAATAACCGAAGATGAACGCGACATGAGATATAAGCAGTGGAAAATGGCAGTCGAACGCTCGTTGGGATGGGAACAGAATTAAACTAAGACTTAAAGGCATTGCACTTGATTTTTATGTTATCATTGTTTAGTTTAAAACGATTTATCTTAGCCTAACAGTTCTCTAAGAACCCTTGGTGACCTTATTGTTATTTACCCGATTTATATAGAGCGCATAAAGTTAATTTTTATACGGTTTAAGTGTTATTTTTTTTTGTATAAATTATGTGCAATTTGGCCTAAAATATGATTTTGTATATAACTATTTTGATTTTGTATATACATATTTGGTTACTACGATTTGTGTACAACGTTTGAATGTGTTAAAACTAGTATAAATGTGATGTGGAAATTCCAAAAATATATACATAGAATACCGTTATCATGTTTTAAATAAATTATAAAAAAGATGTTTGTTTAATTTATAAAGAAATACAGCGCTACTACATTTTTGTCTTGGTCCATTTTGGAATAAGTTGATTGTGAAGCATAATGGAATAAGTTAAATGAAAAAGCAATAATGGTAGTACTATGGGGGACATCTACCTCTACAACTCGGCTGAAGAAAATTGTGCTTTCTTAAAACTTCATATAGAAGTTCTAAGAAGTAATACAAAGTGCTTTAAATAATGTATAACCACGCCATCTATCGTCACGAAGCACAACTAAGTAAAATCAGCACTTATTATTTAGCGTAGTATTATTTTTGTTTCGGCGCCATCTAGTGTAGCATCTTAGAAATACCCACACATAATTCTACGCCAATAGCGCTGTATTGTTCTTGTCGTGGTAAAAACGTGTTTATTTACGGGTATTTATTTTATTAAAAGATAATTAAATTATCAAACACAGACTTATAATTGGTCTATCTAAATCATGTCGACTTTTTTTTCCGAATTCCGGTAACCGTAAACGGTAATTGCATAAATGGCCATCTAGTGTTAAATTTCATAACTACAATATTAGTATTTTTCAATCAATCTGTTTTGGTAAAAGATTTTATTAATTGATTCTAATAAGAGCATTATAATTATGAAGCCTTTATTGCTGTATACACCCAGTATAATATTTTAACACTTATTTAAGTTACATAAAAAAACTTAATTCTAATACATATAAATAAAAAAATCAGTGGCGCTACAATCTCTGTAGGTATTGGCCTTACAGTTCTGAATCTGTTTCATGATCATTTTTAAATGTAATAGGCAAGTAGGTGATCAGCCTCCAGTGCCTGACACACGCCGTCGACTTTTTGGGTCTAAGACATGTCGGTTTCCTCACGATGTTTTCCTTCACCGTTCGAGCAAATGTTAAATGCGCACATAGAAAGAAAGTCCATTGGTACACAGCCGGGGATCGAACTTACGACCTCAAGTATGAGAGTCACACGCTGAAGCCACTATGCCAACACAGCTCATAATAATACATAAATAAAACTGCTGCTTCTTTTCTGATGCTAGCTCTTCTTGTCCAAGTTGTGCCTCCTATTCTCTTTATATCGTCTGCCCATCTCTTGCTCTGTCTTCCTCTTTTCCTTTTCGCGTGGTTGATTTCAATTGCCTTATTTTCTTTATATTGTCCTCTAGTTTGGTCGCTGATCTTATCTCTTCTCTCTTATATCTTCTTCTAATAAGAGCATAATATATCTTAAACTGTCTTATGCTGAATTTAAATTAATTACTAATTCATTACAAAAAAATATACAATTATTTTGAAAAAAAATCACAGTAATTATTTTAAAATCTCAAACCATAAATCTACATTATATGTCAGTCAATTGGTGAATATTAGTTTGTTTGATTGTATCAAGCAAACTAAAATCACATTCGCCCGATACATATGCTTCAATTAATAAATAAAAACACAAATAAACGTAAGTATATAAAAGAACTTTGACCAAGTTTTGCCTAGACCTAGTATCAATTTATTCAAAGATTTATTTATTTTATATTGATTTATTTCAAAAACGTATTAATTTTTGATGTGAGTCACAGTTAGCGAATCAAATGGGTAAAATCGTTATTAGAAATTTACATTGGCTTAAATGACATTAAGTTCTTTTTGTATAAGATTTCGTTACTTGTAAATATAAAATAGAGCATTTAATTCAAGATAAACAAAGTAATTATTGTCATTGACAACCTATATTGCTACTTAGTGTATCGTATAAGGGGCTAAGTGCAGAACCTTGTACGTGAAGTCCGACAGCCTGACGGATGGCTGCAGTCTTGGTCCATCGTGGAGGGAATGAACAGCCATAGATGACAGTTGTATTTCAGGATCGTGGGTCGATATCGCCGTAACAATTACGAAACCTTTTTAGTTCAATTAACTAAGAATAAGTGACGGAAGAGTTGGATCAAAAAGATATAAGTATATTATGATATTAGTTGAAATTCCGTTTCAATTGGCAAGTTTAGCCTTTTGTGCCTACTTAGTTCTAACTACCATAAGACTCCCGTCGAAACTGGAAAATTGTAATTTCTCCACAAATTAAACCATCAGGAAAATCAAATAGATTTTTAGTACACCGAGAGTTAGGCCCACAATGTTTAAGTTCGCCGTTTCTTTCCATGTTTCGTCATCATTTCTTGAAGTAGGGAGAATGGAAATATATGGTGGAGTTGAGTAGTTTATCCATTTTGAAAGATCGATACACAATTTAAATAACTTCGGTCGATAGAAAAAAATCCAAATATAGCCAGTTTTTGACACTTTGAATTCATTTTATGACGAAAATGTGTGTAGAACATGATTTTGAAATTTACAGGATATATTTTATTGCAAGCCAAGTAATCCATTTCAGAAAAAAAAATTATAAAATATCATTAATTTAATGTTTAACATAACTAATTGTTATTACGGGCCGGCGCGCCTCAGTGCTCCAACTCTTCACTGCGCCCCACAGTCCACCCCGAGACACTGACACATCATTTCGTGCTGGGATAGGGCCTTAATTCCGAAATTCGAAGAAAGGGTTGGTTCCAGATGAAATAATAACTTTATATAATGTTTTGTCCTTATCTCTTAGAATTTGGCGGAATAACGAAATATTTTTTCATTTTATTTCTTACTTATAATAAGAGGTATGTTGGCTTCAGCGTGCGACTCTCATCTCTGAGGTCGTAGGTTCAATCCCCGGCTGTGCACCAATGGATATTCATTTAACATTCGCTCGAACGGTAAAGGAACACATCGTGAGGAAACCGGCTTGTCTTAACCCCAAAAACTCGTTGGCGTGTGTCAAGGACAGGAGGCCGATCACCTACTTGCCTATTAGATTGACAAATGATCATACAACAGATACAGAAATCTGAGGCCCAAATCTAAAAAGATTGTACGGCCACTGATTTATTATTACTTTTTTTACTTGTAATAATTTGTTTAGAGACGATTAAGTAAATGCTTATCAGTTTTCTACTTCTTAAATAAATGTGTGCCTATTATGACAAGTGGAATCAATCCCAGGACCTCTAAACGTCGAACGCGTAAACCACTAAGCATCAGGAGCAATATATAACTATTAAAACACACTTTATGCTAAAAGAGAAAATTAATATATGTATGAACTTAAAACAACTCTTCCCTATTCTAGTTAAGGCTTAATTCACGATATCATTTCCAAACAATACAAAATTACAGGCCAACAAAACAAGCAAGGGTTACAGATTATTAAAGTCAATCAGTGTTCAGTGTGAACTGTGGTAAAACCACAGTCGATGAACGGCCAAGCAGTGAGGAAAAACGGCATCTTGCCGCCAATTTGCCCTTGAGTAAATGTATTCTTTATTTAAATCGTCACTACTAGGTATATAATACAACAATTGAGATGCAGGTCTACCGTTGACAGAAATTCAACCTAATGACATCATGTATTAGTATTGAGTGCTCGAGAAAAAATAAATTATAAGTATTCAAACGGCTCCGTCCTTATTTTCCAATTTTCCCTCAGGGCATTGTTAGACAACATCTTATTTTCCAAATATACTAAGATTACGCTAATACTGGGGCATTTTCAAGGTAAATGCTCTTGCTCTTCATATAATGTTTCGAGAAGTTCCCATTAAAATATGTCACTTGCATGAGAAAAAGATATCAAAGCTATAAGACGCTGTCTCCAACTACAAATAACCTTTGCATGTTATTCATGTATCTCTGGAGGCAGGCTGCTGTTAAGACAAAGAGTTTACAAACTAGAAAATCTAAACACTGTGACCCAAATGCACAATGTGCGCAAAGCGCGACTCTGTGTACACTCGCCTTTAATGTCGTATGATTAAACATGGAGAGAGGACTTTATCAAAATTTGGCACGCGTTTGTTTTCGGATGGGGCGTCAGTGTTTGTAGATCGAGCATGCAGCCTCCATGGTTAGATAGAGCTGTCAATATGTCGTTCGCAAATCTTGAGTGATTGCTAGATAAACATGCATGTCACAATATACGACTAGAATTTCTTTATCGATCGGACTTAGAGAGCGCAGTACATAGAAGCTGACAAGACAAATGGCTATTTACTTTACTGTTTATATAATGGTATGGTGTAGGTGCAAAGATGGCGGATAGGTTAGTTTAACTTGTGCTGTTCTATTCGATATTCATTGCGTCGAATTAGTCGTTTAGGCCTGAATAAACTTGCCCACGCAGAATTGACCCTTATCAAATATATAAAATCATGTAAAATATTCATTCAAATCGAACGTCCCGATTTTTCAGTCCGACAAAGCTTCAAGCTTCTTCAAGCTTTAATCAAACAAACGCTTCGAATATTGGAGTAATTCAAATAAAATTAATTATTTTAATCACGAATAATCTGAACATCTTAAAAGTTAAGTTATATAAGGGTTTCGGACTGTGGAATCGAGTCCCAGTGGGGGTCTTCCCTGGGATTTACGACCTCGAATTGTATGAAAAAAGAGTATACTCCTCCTCAAAGGCCGGCAACGCACGCACAAAAATAGGTGTCCAAGGGCATGTGGAACATGGTGTAATGGTTGCAGCTTATTGCCAGTTCTTCTCTTCCGTTCTACGCCCTTGATTTGAGA